ACACAGAGCACACAGCTCACTGACATCCAACCCCACCGCGAGAGGAGACCAAGCAAGGTCCCATTGCCACCTCACTCCCTGCTCGCATGCAAGGAAGCACGACCCCCTCGTGGCCGGCTAACCCCTCGGTCCCTCCATGGAGCTAGAGCTAGAGCCGGTGCCGGCGCCGGCGCCGCAAGTCAGTGGAGCCGGTGGCCCGACGGCGCGCCTTATCGTGGTGGCCCACCGGCTCCCCCTCCGCGCGGCGGAGGACCCGGACTCGCCATTCGGCTTCTCCTTCTCCATCGACCCCGACGCGGTGGCGTTCCAGCTGTCGCGCGGCCTTCCGGCGCCCGTCACCTTCATCGGCACGCTGCCCGCCTCGGCCGAATCAAGATCGTCCCCTCCGACGAGCTCGACAACTACCTCATGGAGAATTTCTCCGTCCTCCCCGTGTACCTCGACGGCGCCCGCCACAACGAGTTCTACGACGACTTCTGCAAGCATGTGGCCGCTGGTCCACTACCTGCTGCCGCTCTCGCCGGCCCACGACGGCGACCTGCGCTTCGACGCCGGTATGTACCGCACCTTCCTCGCGGTGAACAAGCAGTTCGCGGACCGCGTCATCGAGGTGGTCTCGCCGGACGACGGCGACCTCGTCATCGTCAACGACTACCACCTCTGGGTGCTCCCCACCTTCCTCCGCCGCAAGTGCCCGCGCGCCGGCGTTGGGTTCTTCCTCCACTCGCCGTTCCCCTCCCCCGAGATCTTTAGCGCCGTCCCCGTCCGCGACGATCTCGTCCGAGGCCTCCTCAACGCGGACCTTGTCGGCTTCCAGACGGCCGACTACGAGCGCCAATTCGTGACATGCTGCTCGCGCCACCTCGGCGTCTCCGGCGGCGCCTGGACCGGGCACACGACGGGCATCAACTACCACGGCCGGACCGCGTGGTCAAGACCCTCTCCGTCGGCCTCGACTTGGGCCGGCTCCGGGCTACGCTGGCCACGCCGGAGGCCGCCGCCAAGGCGAAGGAGATCGCGGAGGCGTACCGCTGGCGGACGCTCATCGTCGGCGTGGACGACGTCGACCTCTTCAAGGGCGTGAAGCTGAAGCTGCTCGCCATGGAGAAGATGCTGGAGACGTGCTCTTTGCGTTTGCATGGAATAACTCTGCTGCTAATGAATGAACTAAACTACTGAAGCTGCAGCTAGCACACCTCAAGGGCTCAACGTGTAATCCAGCTTTAACTATGTGATGCGCCTAGATCTGCAGGTTTTCGAGGATTCTTGGGGGGAAAAAAAAGCAAAAAAACCTGGGAATCGAACCCGGGTTCACTGGTGCTTCGATGGTTGCAGGGAAGGATCTTTTATGGAGGTATGCTCCAAGGCGAAGAAAATCGTGATCGACCTTCCAAGACCAAGAGCGATGGAGCGAGCACACTCACTGAAAGATGGTGGACGAAAGGCTAGAGCCACGCCTAGGAGTTGGCCCATGTTTTCTACACGGTACCAAACTGCTCTTAAAAGGCCTAATTCATCTAGCAAATTCAATCCGCGGAGTGGCCCTAGGTGTTGGGCTAGTCCAGCTCCACTACTGTCAGTAGGTAAGACAGCACACATATTATTACACCCTTTATTTCACACAATAGAAAATGTACTTAGATGCCCCTTTAGATCGATCTATTGCTTTTGTCTTGTTGGGAGCCTTTCTCCCTCAATTGTTAATATGCCACGCTTCTTATAAAAAAAAACATAGAAGGAGGAGAGAGAAAAAGAGGGAAGAAAAAGAAAAGTAAGAAAATGTGTGTGTGTGTGTGTGGGGAGGTGTGAGGAAGAAGAAGGAGACAGCTCCTCCTTCCTGATAAGATCCATTTTTGTGTTTGTTCTTGGTCACAACTCACAAATGCCTTTATGTTTTGACAATAGCACTATCCATCGATCATCACCCATGTGTTACTTCTGTGTATGTATTCCTTTAGGTGTTTAAGTGGTGTAAGATAGTGTCTCGGCCATCGACATTCGTACAGTCACCAAGTATCTCTATCCATGCTTAAGAATAGATGTTGTCTTATCCCTTTTTATAGTCCAATCTCCTACGTTTGAACCAGTGCAAGCCGACATAAACAAACTTATCATGGATGATCTTACTAGCTACTTCCTCCATTCCAATTTATAAGCTGTTTTGACTTTTCTAGATACTCTACTTTTTATCATGTATCTAGACATATCATATATTTAAGTGCATAGTAAAAGCTATATACCCAAAAAAGCTAAAACATCCTATAATTTAGGACATAGGGTGGTACTACAATTTTTTCCAACTCAATATATAGGTGCCCGGACATGCTCACATGCATGAAGTGCTATGGCAATTGGCAATCCTATCTTTGTTCCATTGTGCCTTCAAAGAGCAAATTTAACTTCCATAGTAGTATTATATCGCGGTAACAAAAAGCCAGACAACTCAACTTAAAAATGTTTCAAACCGAGATATTCATCTTGCAATTACATTACAATGGCAACAGAGACAACACCAATGGTGCCACCCAAAAAGTTGGCACATGTATTGCTTATGTGCTTTACAATGAATTGGTGGAAAAAATGAAAGAAGATGAGATGAGAACCATGAGATTGACTTTATGGACGAAAGGGGGTTTGCCCCTTAGGAGGGAGAGAGTGCTGCATATTTAGATTGCAACCTAAGGCCTTCTATAGTGTTAGCTTGGAGTGGTGCTCTAAATGGACCGAGAGTATTTTGCACACGATAACTATCGATGCCCCATATAGAAAAACTAAGAGCGATGAACGTACAAGGGCTGATGCCCACTTTCTAAACAAATCAATAAAAAAACATGAACGTTCTTCATCTCCTACCATTTCTTAAGCCATCAATTCTTTAGTTGTTTATTTGTTTCACTTGTATCGTGGGAACCACTGCATCCCAGGAGAGTGACACCATTTTCTGTAATGGATGAGTATTTATTTCTGGCACCCTTAATACACTGTGGAAGGTCTAAGGTCGTACAACTAAACTTTAGACAACCATGGTTTTCTTTGATAGTGTTCGGTTACTACCAGAACTTAGTCGGTCTAATTAACTTCTTAGCTACTTGTCCCACCTGTCATAGATTCAACTTTTGTCCCTAAGTTTGCCTAGCGTTAAATAGTGGATCTTCTTATATCACAAAAATGTGGCAAAACGAAACGAAACCTGGTAGCCTTATATATAGGTTAAAAAAATTATGTGGCAAACATACTCCGTACGTACAGTGGCCACGACCAACCAAATGTGTGCTTCGCGAAATAGCGCTAGCCGCCGCTAGGGAGGGCCATCCAACGACCCCACTCGTGTAGTCGTGTCCTTGCACACCCGTGGGCCCGTGAGATGGACCGTGCATCTGATCTCATTTAGGGCCATCATCAGCAGTTCAGCACTCAGCACGCTCAGCAGCCTATCACCAGACAGACACCACTGTCCGGTGGCATGGTACGTACGCGCAGCACTGCAGCGGGAGGTGGTACACGTACGCGCGCGTGACGTTGACGGCTGTGCTCGAGAGCGAGATTGTACGTGCTGATCGCCAGACCCACCACGGTTGTTACCGCTCACTAAACATCAGAAGCTGCATTGTCAAAGAGGGAGTACTCCTACCTAGCAGTAGTATTTTAATTAGGACTCCCTTGATCTCTTGCAACCTTTTCGTTCCCTGTTGGAGAGAGAGTACTGAAGTGGCCGGTCATATCATATATATACTGGTAATACAAAGGAACATTGCATTGCTTGGTAATTTCGTGTTGTTTAACTGTAACTACTATTTTTTCCCCGGTCGACAGTTGAGTGCCCCAGCAGTCAGCACCGTGTAAGCAAGCAAAGGCGGAAGATGCCGTCCGTGCGTGCCAACCGAAACACAGACCCATTTCGTACGCAGTCGACACTCGACTCGACAAGTCGATAGTCTGTGCAAAGTGGCAAAGTGCAAACCTCTTCGATAAGTTCGATTACCATCTCCATTTGCGCGGAACCTATGTGGCCCTACATTAATTATGTAGTCAAAACTGGCCAAGTAATACATCGTATCATTTGGATATATTGTTTTGGAACGTTTGTATTTAACGAGCTCCTAGCATATATCGTCCATCACTTTTACATTTTTCATCCTAACAACTATAAAATTCGAGGTTTTAGTTTATTCCCTATGATTTGTGTCATTCCCATGTAAAAGTGTATGCTACACATACTGTAAAATTCAACCAATGCGATATAATTCAACTACATTCTTCTAAGTGTACATTGTTTATAAGGAATCTATAGCCGTATTCGACGAAAGAAACACACACAAACACGAGACCACTGCCAATGCCTTTGGAAACGCCAAAACTCAACATACAGCCACAATCGCACAAAAATAAAGCCATGTCACTCACGCCCGCATTGGTCGATAACGTAGCAAATATATTTAATTGCTACTAAATATGCTCGACCTAGCTGGCACTCTTCTTTGCCAGCTAAAAGAGATGTTTCCGCATACGCCAAATTATATCCAACTAACTCGGAGTACGTTAAGCCACGCTAGATATATATTGCGCGTGACGCCGTGCGCGTGCGCAGCTGTACTGCCAGCTGGACATGTTTACTGGCGAGATGACCGTTGAGCGCTTCGAACCGCGAACCCCGCGTTACCCGCCGCGCCAAACCGTTACGTCGAAGAGCCCCTCCAAATTGTCTATTTCTTGTGTATGTGCCAAATCTTTTCTTCCACCTTTGGTGAAGAGGCTTTCGTTGGAATAGTTCCAAACTACAAGTACTAATCTGCAAATTCAGCCATAGCTGCAGTGCTCCCACTAGTATATATACCCCACCACTCCCTCGCCCACAGCCACAGTACACAGAGCACACAGCTCACTGACATCCAACCCCACCGCGAGAGGAGACCAAGCAAGGTCCCATTGCCACCTCACTCCCAGCTCGCATGCAAGGAAGCACGATCCCCTCGTGGACGGCTAACCCCTCGGCCCCCTCCATGGAGCTAGAGCTAGAGCCGGTGCCGGCGCCGGCGCCGCAAGTCAGTGGAGTCGGTGGCCCGACGGCGCGCCGCATCGTGGTGGCCCACCGGCTCCCCCTCCGCGCGGCGGAGGACCCGGACTCGCCATTCGGCTTCTCCTTCTCCATCGACCCCGACGCGGTGGCGTTCCAGCTGTCGCGCGGCCTTCCGGCGCCCGTCACCTTCATCGGCACGCTGCCCGCCTCGGCCGAATCCAAGATCGTCCCCTCCGACGAGCTCGACAACTACCTCATGGAGAATTTCTCCTTCCTCCCCGTGTACCTCGACGGCGCCCGCCACAACGAGTTCTACGACGACTTCTGCAAGCACTACATGTGGCCGCTGGTCCACTACCTGCTGCCGCTCTCGCCGGCCCACGACGGCGACCTGCGCTTCGATGCCGGTATGTACCGCACCTTCCTCGCGGTGAACAAGCAGTTCGCGGACCGCGTCATCGAGGTGGTCTCGCCGGACGACGGCGACCTCGTCATCGTCAACGACTACCACCTCTGGGTGCTCCCCACCTTCCTCCGCCGCAAGTGCCCGCGCGCCGGCGTTGGGTTCTTCCTCCACTCGCCGTTCCCCTCCCCCGAGATCTTCAGCGCCGTCCCCGTCCGCGACGATCTCCTCCGAGGTCTCCTCAACGCGGACCTCGTCGGCTTCCAGACGGCCGACTACGAGCGCCACTTCGTGACATGCTGCTCGCGCCACCTCGGCGTCTCCGGCGGCGCCTGGACCGGGCACACGACGGGCATCAACTACCACGGCCGGACCGTCGTGGTCAAGACCCTCTCCGTCGGCCTCGACTTGGGCCGGCTCCGGGCTACGCTGGCCACGCCGGAGGCCGCCGCCAAGGCGAAGGAGATCGCGGAGGCGTACCTCGGGCGGACGCTCATCGTCGGCGTGGACGACGTCGACCTCTTCAAGGGCGTGAAGCTGAAGCTTCTCGCCATGGAGAAGATGCTGGAGACGCACTCCGACATGCACGAGCAGGTGGTGCTCGTGCAGATAAACAACCCGGCGCGCAGCCGGGGCCGCGACGTCGACGGCGTCCGCGGCGAGACGCAGCAGATACTGCAGCGCATCAACACGCGCTTCGCGAGGGCCGATACAGCCCCGGTGGTCATGATCGACGGCCCCGTGCCCATTTCCGAGAAGGTGGCCTACTATGCCGCCGCCGACTGTTGCGTCGTCAGCGCCGTGCGCGACGGGCTGAACCGGGTCCCCTACTTCTACACGGCGTGCCGCGAGGAGGCGCCCGGCGCGCGGAAGCACAGCGCTGTCGTGGTGTCCGAGTTGGCCGGGTGCTCGCCGACGCTGCGCGGCGCGATCCGCGTGGACCCGTGGGACCTGGAGGGCATGGCCAACGCCATGCACGCGGCGGTCACCACCATGAGCGCCGAGGAGAAGCAGGCGAGGCACAGGAGCAACTACGACTACCTGCGCGCGAACGACGCCGTCACCTGGGCGCAGGCGTTCGACGCCGCCCTGCAGCTCGCCTGCAAGGACCACTCGACGACGTTGTTCGTCGGCCTCGGGTTGGGGATGAGCTACCGCGTCGCCGCGGTCCAGCCGAGCATCAGGACGCTCGCGACAGGAGCCCTGCTGTAGTTGTAGCCTTGTAGGCACAAGGTGGAATACAGGCAGTAGCTAGGTTTCTCCTAGGAGGACTATGTGCTCGATGTCAATCCAGTAAATTACAAGAACTGTTAGCTCCCTTTCAAATGCTGAAATTTTTCTTGTTTGCTATATTTTTTTCTTATGAAAATAAACTGGTTTTTGTGAATTTCCTATACGATTCATGTGAAATTCCTGCGTTTTTTAAGAGACACTTAACTGTTATCCTTTTACTGCCTTACTGGTGTGCTTGCATAATATGTACATTTACTTTAGTCATTTCTAATATATTAATACTATTAAATGAAGTAGGTTATATAGAGAGATTATGTGGAGTATATATATGCCATCCGATGTAATTTGCTATCCATCCAATATGATTAATATTTTGTAAATCTACGCGTGGAGTGTCATGTCCGCACCATCGTGTAAGGATGCAAGTCTGATTCAAGTCAAATTATCTTAACTTAACTAGGTTTATAGAAAATAGTACAAACATTTATTACTTCAAGTAGATATACTATATAAAAATATATTCGATGATAATAATGATACCTATTAGTATGTTAGATATCAGTACCTTTTTATATAAATTTTGTCAAACTTAGAAGATTTGACTGAACTTCTAGAATTGGAGGTAGTATTAGATAGATATGCATCTCATTTGCATGCATGGACTGCATTCTACCGTAGCCGACACAAGAAAACTTCAGGTGTGATGGTGCGTGCCCATGGCTCAACACATATAGTTCTAGGTTGCCAAGTGCTTCACATTACAATGGTAAACTCTCGAGGAGTGGGAGCAACCGGCTAGGGTGTTATCCCGGATTCCCGGTGCTGTACAAATATAATACCCCATATCGACACCCTCATGAGGTTTTAGCTGGGCGTCGACCTGTGGTTTTGGTGTGCCAGGTGTTCATGCTAGGCATGCAAGGCTGTTGTGTGTTTGTCGCTACTATTCCCGAAGCAGTCAAAGCAATTCTCTACCATGGGAGCAATAGATCCTTAGGATGAGGACGACATGAAGAAGATGGTGCCACCTTATTTGGACAAGAGGAAGAGGGATACCACCAACATGCACAAGATTCAGCTGAAGCCCCCTGTTGGTGTTTCGTATCACCAACTAGTGAATTTAGTGTCACACGTGGGTTTTGGATCACCTAGTGTCGCGGGTTCAGAACCGCAGCGAGCATCGAGTTGTTCGTTGGAAGTCGATGTGTGGCTCTCAGTGGCTCAGACACTCAAAGCACTCATAGACATGGGCAATTTTATCCAGTTCGGGCTTCTGAGTCCTACGCCCAACAATATGGTATTCTTCGTGTTAGGAATGCCCAATTGGGAGTTTCTTACAATGATAGAGTAGAGAGATTGGTAGGGGAAAACCCTTCCTAGGAAGGCGGAGGCTAAAGCTTGGGTGCGGGGACAAAAACTCTAATCACACTGGTGAGCAAAAACGCCGTAGCCGCTGGGGCGTAGGTTTCTTGCGGTCCGACCAGTTTTACTCAGAGTTTGTTTTCGCACACCTTGCCTCTAGGTTTTAGCGTGAGAAAGGGTCGGGCATAGAGGATGTCTACCAAAATAGACACTCTTGCCAGCCCCCGAGTAAGGCCCGACCCCTTGCCGTTGCTGGGGTCGGGGGCTCGATTGCGGAATTAATAAGAGAAAACGTACGTAAATTAAGGGTGACCCATCTCTCAGCAGCGGTCCGAACCATCCGATCGACTTGGGTGACCCGCTGGCACAGGACTTACCTCGATGGCATGAGTGATGGGTTCAGGGGGCTCTTACCAGATATGTCCGAGTGGAATCCGGGTCCGTCGTTCGTGACGGAGTCCGAATAACCCGCATGAGGCATCCTACTGCTCCCTACCCATCTCTCGGCAGCAGCCAAACCGTCCGATCGACTTATGTGACCCGCTGACATAGGACTTACCTGTGGAGATAGAGGATGAGGTCATCCCCCCTAAGAAATTAGTTAGGCAGATACGCCAGGCGGCGAACTTGTATTAAGTGGACAAGCTCTTAAATTTTGTTATGGCATAACAGATTTTTAGCCCTTCTCCCCTTTTCATATAAAAAGGTTAGTGCGTTTCGACCCTTTCCGTCGTTAAGGCCGTAAAGCTCGGGGTGCGGGTGAACAAACTCTGATCACGCTGGTGAGCAAAAACGCCATAGCCACTAGGGCATAGGTTTTTTGCAGTCCGACCAGTTTTACTCAGCATTCGTTTCCGCAACCCTAGCTTCTAGGTCTCAACGTGAGAGAGGGTCGGGCATGGAGAGTGTTTGCTAGGTGGACATACTCTTAGACGCGTACCGACTCTTTTCGTAGTTAAGGCTTAAAAAGCTTGGGGTGCGGAAAAAACTCTGATCACGCTAGTGAGCAAAAACGCCGTAGCCGCTGGGGCGTAGGTTTCTTGCAGTCTGACCAGTTTTACTCAACGTTCGTTTCCGCAACCCTTGTTTCTAGGTATCAACGTGAGAAATGGTCGGGCGTAGAGAATATCTACCAGATAGATATGCTCTTATTAGCCCCCAAGTGAGGCCCGAACCCTTGCCGTTGCTGGGGTCGGGTGTCACTAAAGATCGGGGAGTCGATAGCAAAACAGATAAGAGAAAGTGTGCGTATATTAAGGGTAAAAGCGACGTAGCTGCTCGATGTTCCAGACATTAACGAAGACTTCGCTGTCGATGGTCTTGAGCTTGTAGGTGCCTGGTCGGAGCACCCCCACGATGACGTATGGTCCCTCCCACGGTGGAGAGAGCTTGTGACGGTTCTTATTGCTCTAGACGAGGCAGAGCACCAGGTCCCCGACGTTGAAGGCCCGACCCCGCACTCGACGGCTATGGTATCGGCGTAACGCTTGCTGATACCTGGCCGAGCGGAGGAGGGTAACGTTGCACGCTTCATCTAGCTGGTCCATGGCATCCTCGAGGGACGCCTCAGCTCCCTGTTCATCGTACGCCCTGACCCTTGGTGCTCCATAGTCGAGGTCGATTGGGAGGACATCCTTATAACTGTAGACTATGAAGAATGGCGTGTAGCCGGTGGCTCGGCTGGGGGTCGTCCTCAGGCTCCAAAGCACTACGGGAAGTTCCACGACCCATCGTCCGCCAAACTTGTTCAACCGGTTGAAGATCCTAGGCTTGAGGCCTTGTAGGACCATGCCGTTCGCACGCTCGACCTGCTTGTTCGTGCGGGGGTGTGCCACGGCGGCCCAATTGACGTGGATGTGGAATTCATCGCAGAACCGAAGGAATTTCTTTCCGGTGAACTACGTGCCGTTGTCCGTGATAATAGAGTTCGAGACTCCAAAGTGATGGACAATGTCAAGGAAGAACAACATGGCTTGCTCAGGCTTGATTGCGGAGATCGATCGAGCCTCTACCCACTTTGTAAACTTGCCTATGGTGATAAGCAAGTGTGTATAGCCCCTAGACGCCCTCTTGAGAGGTCCGACCAGATCGAGCCCCCAGACCACGAATGGTCACGTGATGGGGATCGTCTGGAGTGCTTGGGCCAGCAGGTGGGTCTACCGAGTGTAGTATTGACACCCTTCGCAGGTGCGCACAATATGTTCAGCGTTGGCTACCGCGGTCGTCCAGTAGAAGCCTTGTCAGAATACGTTTTCGACTAGGGTTCTAGGCGCAGCATGGTGATCGCAGACCCCACTGTGGATATCGCTCAGCAGTCGCTTCCCTTGTTCGATGGGGATGCAGTGCTGTAGGACCCTGGTGTGGCTTCCCCTGTAGAGCTCGCCATCAATAACGGCAAAAAACTTGGCGCGATGTGTGAGCCGCCAAGCCTCCGTTTTGTCCATCGGTAGCGCTTTGCGGAGGAGGTAGTCGTGGTAAGGCGCCCTCCAGTCAGCCAGAGGGTCGGGCTCTATCGCTGGATCCTCATTAAGCTCCATGACTTCGGGGTCGGATGGAGCCGACGGCTGGTTAGCCCCCGAGCCTAGGGTAGGTGGCCCGTCACTAGCTTGTTTCGGCTCCTCATAGCGGACTAAGGGTTTGTATTGATCGCTGGCGCCAGCGCGTCGGCCGCCTCGTTGAGACTCCAGCTGGCGGACTTCTCAGCAATACACAACCATCTTGGCATTGTGGTAGCTTGATTCCTTCATGACTTGGTCGATGACCAGCTGGGAGTCGCCCTGGACGTCAAGCCATCGGATACCCAACTCGATGGCGATGCGCAGGCCGTTGATGAGCGCCTCATATTCGGCCACATTGTCGGAGGAGGGAAAATGAATGCGAACCATGTACCTCATGCATATCCCAAGGGGTGAAACGAAGACCAGACCTGCGCCGGCGTCTTTCTTCATCAGTGATCCATCAAAGTACATAGTCCAGTACTCCTGGTCGATGACTGCCGGCGGTATTTGGACCTCGGTCCACTCTATAACGAAATCAGCCATTGCTTGGGACTTGATGGCCATCTAGGGGGCATATGAAATGCCTTGACCCATCACCTCAAGTGCCCGCTTGGTGATTCTTCCCATGGCATCCCTGTTTTGGACGACCTCGCCGAGAAAGAAGGACGTCACGACCATCACTGGATGCAACTCGAAGTAGTGATGCAATTTCCTTTTGGCGATGAGGACGGCGTATAGGAGCTTCTAGATTTGGGGGTAGCGGGTCTTGGAATTGGACAAGACCTCACTAATGTAGTATACGGGAGGCTACACTTTGAGGGCGTGCCCCTCTTCTTCTCGCTCTACCACCAGGGTGGCGCTGACCACTTGTGTGGTGGCCATGATGTAGAGCAGAAGCGGTTCTCCGTCGGTTAGGGGACTAGGATCGAGGCCTTCGTCAGAAGCTGCTTGACCATGTCAAGTGCCTCCTGGGCCTCAGGCGTCCATTAGAAATGGTCGGCCTTCTTTAGGAGCCGATAGAGGGGGAGACCTCATTCGCCGAGGCATGAGATAAAGCGGCTGAGCGCAGCGAGACACCCTATAACTCGTTGTACCCCCTTTATGTTCTGAATCGGGCCC